GATTAGACACACTACCATCACATTCTTCACCTCGACGCTACCAAAACGCTTCTCAATAATCATCTCCTTTAGGTGAGCTAACTCTCTATCTGTTTTTTCCATGTAACGCCGAACTGTTTCCATATATGGTGGTTTGTCAATAGCATCAAGAAAGGTCCGGCTCTCATTATTTTGGAAGTACCGAATAAAACCATCATGTTGTTCCACCACGACCCTTGTATCTTAAAACTCGTCCATTAAAGCCTCATCCCACCACCTGAATATATGGCGCAAACCATCCTATACACAAACAAATTTGCCAACATCAAATTATATCTACACGACAAAAATCACCACCACAAAAATCATTACCGCATGGTTATGACAACCATAGAATCTTCGACCCGGATTGTCGGGTGTAGTGGATGCATGTTTTCAAAAGCAGCGCCAAACTGCAGTAACAAAGGTCAGGAAATCCTATACTTCTAACTGCTCGACACCGAGGAGTTGAACTCACACTCATGTGGGAACTACTCGACGGTTGGGTGTAGGTGTACTGCACCATCCATGATCACCATATAACAATAACTCATGTTATATATCCAGAACAGGTACACTTCTCTGTCAGTCTACTAGTAGACTTCTCTGTCAGAGACCCAACAATTAACATTTAACAAAATATATTTCGAGAAGATCTTGATCAAGAGATATACCACAAACTTACTTGTGATGGAAGTGGGACTCAGATCTGTAGCACTGAGAATGAAAAATATGTGAGTAAACTAGGACATGTGTGAAGATGGAGATAAGGAAGATGGCGGACAGATCTAAAATCTTACATGTTCGTAAAGAGTAAGGATGAGGACGACGATGGGTCAGATATGAAACAATAAGAGAGAAGCAAATCTGCAACAATAAGAGAGAAGCAAATGTGAATAAACTGTTGATGGACGTGTGAAGACAAAGATGTGGAAGATGGCGGGTCAGATCTGAAAGCTTACCGGAGGAAGACAATATGGGTTAGATCTGCAACAAATCATAAAGAACTTGAATTACATAGTTGAAAAAAGTAGATAAGAAAGATGAAGATGAAGACATAAAGAGTAAAAGAAGAACGACGAATTACCACTAAGATAGTCGCCAAGAAGAGAGGCGGCAGCAGAGGTTAAAGGCAATTGAGGAGAACCATTGGCCGCCGTTTT